AGTGCTTCTGTTTTAAGTATTAGGCACTTGAGGTCTTTGGTGAAGATTTTGTTTTGCCCAAAATGATCCTTTTTTTTTGTCAACTGTAAACATTGGGGTGGTTCACAAATTAATTGATATTCAAAAGATATCTTTTTTCATTTTGACGAAAAAACACTCTCTATTCGGCATAGTTAATGCTGAACACATTTTTTTTTTTTTTGTTCATTAATTTATTTGATAAGGCTCAACCGAATTAACTTAACAGAGCCGAGGATTCTTGGTCACTATACAATACATCTTAAAAATATAGTCAAAAGGTACAACACAATAAACACTTTATCTTCCACTATCCAAAAAGCCTCCTCCATCAGAACTGGAGCCGCTTCCAGTAGTTTCATTGTATGGCAAACTGTTGTACGCCAACGAGGGTCAGAGCGCGTCCATTGCAGCAATGGACGCAAAACGTGGTCAGCACTCACACACTCATCACGAAACGGTTGCTTTCCAAAGTCGACGACGCATCGACCGAAAGAACTGCTGATGAAGAACAATGAGGAGGACCACACAATGGTTGCTGTCGAGAAAACAGACAATCGCGTAGCACACATCGAGAGTGGTCTGCTTTTGTCGACAGCCGAGTGAACACTCAATGCTGAACACATGTCATGCTACTTTGAAATATTTTGTCTATCTCTTAAGCTATATTCTCTTTCAAACGTCTCGTGAAAGCTATCTTCGAGCTTCATTTGCAGTTTAATAATTTGCACACTATTGCCGAATAAAGTAAATCGATATCTCTTAACGATCACGAGATATCAACGGTTTCTTTAATAAATATGCCCTTTTAATGTGTCAATTAAACAGCATTCTATGAACCATATGGAACAGGAATCAGTACACCGAAAAAAATAATCAAATCGTACACCTCATACAAAACGCCGTATGATTTTCGATTCTTTACGGATTGCAAACAAACTGAGAAATTGAGCATTTCTACATCAATCGATCAGGCGTGAATTTTCATGAAACTGTTTTTTTATATAAGAAATCTGTCAAATTTGCACAGAATCTCATCCATTTCAACTCACGCCTAGTTTTTCAAAATGGCGTATGATATATTTTTCAATATGCATTTAAAAAGTTCATTTCTAATAAAATGACCTCTGATACATAGTTAAAGAAGAAAGAGGACCTTTCCAGAAAATAATGAACATTGTTGAAATTTTAAATTTGTACACATGAGAACTTACAAACATAGTAGAACAGTAAAATTAAGAAACTGTTGTTTATGGCACAATCGGTTTATTATTGCCCAGAAAACGATTCTTAGGACCTAAAAGATTTTTTGTTCATGGCTTTCAAACATTTTAATGATTGTCGCTGTTCTACGATTTTTGTCTATTTTGATGTTTCTAGTTTTAAATTTGCAGAAGAGTTACTTAAAAATTTAAAATAAATATTTTAAGTGGAATCTTTTTAGCAAAATCTTCTGATATAGTTATGTATTTTTTTTTTCGAGAAAGATTGTCTATTTTCTCCGAACTTAGTCTCAGACGTCATTTTGATTGCAAGAGAAATTTTCGTGCGTGATATATTAAAAAGTATCGAATATGTCATTTTCGAACATGAAGAGAGTGCAAGCAAAACAATTTATCAAAATTTTATGGAAATCGGTAAGGGTTGAATCTGAAATTATTTCTGTTTGTTATTTGGCCTATGCGGCCGAATGAATATAGAGAATAAAGTAAATTCTACAGTGCGTTTCTTATGAAATCTTTTATTCATACGATTCATTGTCTACGTGAGTTTAATTCTAAATTATCAACTTTGGTGACTGTAACCAGGGTCGCAGTGAGGGTTTTCTCTGCCCTTGGTAAACCATGGAAATGACACCCGTTTTCTTATTGATTAAATCAAACGCAAAGTTTCTAAATACAGGGTGAATTCTCTATGTTTCTTCCCGTCTGGGATTCTAAATGTATGCATAGTCTGGGAAAATCCGAACAGAATGTTGGTACGTTCTCGTACAGATGGGAGATTTATACCTCACCTTCCCAAAGACTTTCTTTTCAGTTATCTGACGGGAAGGGCCCAGAAAATAAGTTTTTTCTCCTGCTTCTGATTTCTCGAAGAAAAAAAGTTTCTATGTCACATAGCTTGAATTTCCCATTGTTCCTAAAACATCGACTCTTAACGTTGTCCTACCGTGAGATGAAGCTCGCTCTATATTGCTTATTTTTAAGTTATTTTCGTTTAATAGGGGTGTACATATTCCATGTTGACAATCAATGTTCAAAGTCTCAAAAACTTTTTTTTTATTTCTAAAAATATTGAAGATTGCGGCTGACTCAGAATTTTGAAATAATGACATGTTCAAGAATCATGAAAAGTTATCCTTTTATTGAAATTTATTTATTTTTTCCATGGCCAGCATATATACATATCTTCCGTTTTTGAGATCTCATACATCTCAGTCACAAAACGAAAAACATTTCTAGTCCCAGAATGCTGAGGTATATACCATTAGGTAGCCCGTTATATTGATTTTTTGTATATGTCTGAATTACCTTAATAATTGTCTGGATTTCTTCGCAGGTTTTTTGGAGTTTTCTTCAGAATTCAATTTGAATCATCCTACAGTTTATTCAGAGTTTATGTCTAATTTTTGTTAAAGAAAAATCATTACATTTTTTCTGGAATTCCTTTAAAATTTTAAGGATAGAAACTTCTTGGAATACACTCTGCATCGCTTTACCAATTTTTAATCATTCTCGCAAGAACTCTTTTAAATTGTTTTGCATAATTATATTTAATGTTCCCTCGAAAAATTTCTAAGAATTTCGTTCCTTAGACCTATAAAAACTAAAATGAAATTGCCATGGATTTCTCCTCAGAATTCTATGTGAAACAATATTTTGCTGCTTATATTGACGAAAATACGTAAATTCTCTTATATATTCCTGGTGAAAATCGCAGGGACAGAAGGTGCTCAAATTCAGGAGCATAGGATTTTTTAAAGATTCATGAACTTATAAAGAAATTATGTATTTAACTGATTCAGGTATGCGCATTCGTCTTCCTTTCAGCTCCTGCCGCAGCTTTCGTCACTCCCTTATTATGTCGCTGGCTGCAGATGCTACAGTGTAGCATGAACATCGTGATCAGTTTTTACTGACGATAGCAACCGTCTATCTATATGGTCACTGACCTTTGGTCTGATTTACATAAACACGTCAGTTGAATCTTGCTCAGTGATTGAGTAATATTGTACTTCTAGATATTTCTTTTCCTTTCAAGCAAACTCTACCCAGTTGTAATACAAACTGGGCTTACTCAGAGCCCTGAGTATGTTCAGTTTTTAAAATTTTACTTAGACTTTTGATTAAGATTTAACGTCATATACACGCTAATACCACCCTATTGATAGACACATGTACTTAACTGTCTATTTCTCAAATTTCTACATTTGCTCAAGACACTAGAGCTACATTTAGTTCAGACTATAGCTGATATTACGTATTGTACACACTAAGAGTATTTCACTGTTTTCTGCGAAATGTTACCGAAATCTCAACAGCTGAATGATTGGTAAACAATTCGGTGGTTTTCCGGGGTTGCCCTGTAATTTTTTTTCCAGACATTCTGTAAAATATTGCAGAAATACTGTGTAAAATCTTCGAACTTTATGCCGAAAATTCAGCTGTTGAGATTTCGGTATAATCCTCAGAAATCTGTGAAATAATCTTAGTGTAGGCTATTTTGATATTAAAGTCCTACCTATGATTTCCTGTGAAAATTTTACGTTTAAGTGCTCATTGCAATGCTGACTATATTACGCAATATCTGCTATAGTCCGAACGTAGAATAATCTTCTATCCACACGACCACTGAGACTAACTCAAAATGGAGTTGAATTTCACACAATTTGTCAAATTCCGGTGTTACGCATGTACTGAATAAACGCAAATATATCAAATTAGAGGCTGTTCATAAACCACGATGAAACTGGCACGGAAAGAGGTGGCATGGGGTGTTAGTGAGTGTCTAGTCTGTGGTAATTTCCAAAAATGTGTATGGGTGATTATCTATGTCCCCACGTAAAACGGCATACGTACCTTATGAACAGCCCCTTAACAATTCCACTCTTTCGATTTCTCGAAGACGCGATGCATTTTGAGTCTCAATGGTCGGTTACTTGAAATGGGAAATGGCATGATAAGCTACACGCTCATACTTTCTGACTATATTTGTCCCTGTCCTATTTGATCAGCTATTCTAAATACACTTCCATTTTATCGATGTTGTAAGATCTATGACGATGAAGGCTAGTCAGCATTCAAATACAAGCCTAGCAGATAATACTAGAATCGGACAAAATTTCACAAACCCACATTATGGACAAACTGCGTACATCCAAATCTGAGTAGTTTCCATATACAGCATTGTTTTTTTTTATAAATGAATTTAATGCATTTTGTCAAATTCAGTCAATTTTTGAACTTTTGCTTTGACACTACTATGACAGTTTTTTTTTCTCTCGAATCTATCCTCCGTTGAAAATTCCTCCACATCCTTTCTTTTTAGAAAAATTAGGCGAATCTTGTTGTACTCTAAGAATATTATAAGGAAATAGTTAAATCTAGACACAGCGAAAGATTAAAAATAAGTAGAAGTAACCGTTTAATGTACATTACAGTATGGAAGTAGAGTAGCGTTTTTTTTTTGAAAATCGGAACAATTCAATAGAAACATAATGTACATTTACATACAAACTATACGTAATATTAGATTAGAAAAATTAATTCATAAAAGAAAAAAAAAAACAGTGAGGTGCGCATAAGTACAGACATCACAAAACATGTCTCATTTCTGTACAGATAAAGCGTTCTATCGATATTTATATGTATATAAAGTGTAAACGAGTGTAATTTTTTTCGTTTACTTGTTTTAAGGGTAAGAAAGAGCAGGACAGAAAACTATATATTGACAGATTCCGAGTGGGACTGGGAAGAGCTTACCTCGAGCCTATCCGAGCGGGGGATCTTTTGTTGTGCTTGTGGCACTACGGTTTGTTGCACGACGGGTCCCAGTTGGGAAACCCCCGATGGATCCGCTGGACCTAACAGGGTCGGCATCAGATGACCCGGTTGAAAGTACGGACTGTACGTGCTAGTTGGCATGCCAGCCAGGTAGGGATTGGTTGCCTGTGTCGGTTGAGACGAAAAGAAAAGGAAAAGTCCACGATTATTATATGCAGTGTGGTTCGAGCACCGTGGGTTCTTTTTTTTTGTTGCTGCTCGAGGTACGCCACTTCGTACGACGACATGCGCTGACTGCTGCCGGGATATCATTCGACAATCACCACCACCAGCAGTGGGGTAGGGAAGATGAACGATCCACTTCCGGTTTGGCGTGGTGGCAGCAGGCAGCGCCTATCGTCGGAGGCGCTGTTGGTGGATTTCCGGCTAGGTTGCACTCCACTCGTACTGGAAATTGCGGTTCAACATTAACATAAAAATGCAATTAAGCTCGACAATCGTTCACGGGCTTTGTGGAAAATAAATGTTCAAACAGAAATCGTTTAAAAGCTTTCTCCCTTTCTGTCTGTTCTTTGCGGTTTCCCTCTGGTGGAATAAACCAGAACCGCCGACTTAAAGAGCGAAAGAGTAAGAGAGAGAGAGAGAGCATCCTTCAAATGACCATTGTTTGGTGGCAGATGGAACGAATAGGCGAAAAGAAGCTTTAGATGGGTACACAATGACGGAACTAAATAATAAAAGAAAACATCTGAGGTACTCTGAACTAAATTGAAAATGCGGTCATGAAAACTAAACAGGAGGAAATTACCATAAACTTAATGTACCGCCAAATGCAATGCGCGGCTTAGCAGTTCTTTGCTGATTGATTCTTGAGCTGTTTGCCGTTTTAGCTAAATAGCTTCCTATGTTCTTTGATTGTGGTGCGCTCGTGGGTGGTTATTCTAGCAAAAATGTCCATGAATCTGATGCATTGTTTTGAAAACAAGATGGCAACACTGCCACTTCAAGATATTGAAGCAGCATTGTTGTTGCAGGTACCCTATCATTGAGTTGATTTTTTATTTATGATTGGGTCATGTTGGGACAATTTTCCACATCGATAACATTTGGAGCAACAGCTATGCACTGCATTGGCGAAAACTGGAAGCCTCTATACGAGTTCTACTCTAGACCCTAAGACCCTATAGCTTGGACTAAAGCAACTTGTGTGGACTATCCACAACGTAAATAGGAAACGTAAAATGAAAACAAATAAACTCAGACAACAATTATCAGGCCAGGACTATAATTTTGGCAGCTCTTTCATTTAGGCTCGCGCACGCTTCTATAGACAAACACACACAGACACTAACTAGTGTTCCAAGGAGGAGATCACGCAAAGCAATGCATTGATATATGCTCCAAAGCACCGAAGTAAAGCGAGAATAGCAGCCTTGTTGTTTTTCCTTTCTCACGTGCTACCCCCATTTACACCCTCCTATAAACACGTTCCCTTTCGGGGGAGTCTAGAATCGCGTCAGAATGTCTCGCTCTGATTGATTGGGTCCTGTTCTGCTGGAAGCTAAGCATTTTAAGGCAAAAGAGAGGGAGGGACTCATTCCACGCGCATCGGTTCGTGAAGCGTTTCATACACACGGTTGAATTGAGGTAGCATAGACCTTGGTAGGAGGGGGGGGGGGGGGGGGAAGCGTGACTTTTTGTTTCGTTATTTTTTGGCAACCGCTATTCTGGTGGCTTCCGGTTTGAATTTAACATTTAGTCACGACGAGCAACACGGGCTACTGAATACCAAAGTGTTGAGGAAAAGAGAACTTTGAGCAAAAATCAAAAACGAACTTCAGGCAGCAAAATAGAGCAACACTTACAAAAAATCGGCACTAGGGTAAAGAAGTTTCATAGTATAAAAAAGTAATAGGGATACTCTTTGAGCAATTACTTTGCAGGCGCCACCTTGACTGTTGTTATTGGTGCTGATGTGGTTGTTGTTATTATGGTGGGTGGTGGTGGTAGAGGTGTTGCAGGTGTTGCTGGTGTGGCTGTTGTTGTTATTGTTGTGGTTGTTGTTGTTGGCTGGAGTGACGCTGGCACCGTTCATTATGGCTGGGACGCAATTGCTACCATTCGTGTGGCTGACGACGTACGTCGTATAGGGCGGATGGGGGTGGCCTCCCCAGGCGATCGTAAATCCGAGTGCCGCGGCGGCTGCTGCCGGAGGTACACCCGTCGTCACTGTGGCGCCATTCTGGACCAAATAAATCCATTGGTTGAAAGTTTTTTTTTTCGAGATATCAGAGTGTTTCGTGGAGAATGAGAAAGAAGGAAAGCAGAGAGCTTTTAGCAATCGTTGCTATTGTTTATTTTAAGCGAGGAGTAGTACAATTTACTGGGGATGCGGGATATGTGTGATCGATTTATTTACTTTATGTAGAGTCTGTTTTTTTCATCGGGGTACATATGGAGTAATCAACTCAAGTGGCTTCGTCAAACAAGCGATTGAAACTAAAGTTTTTTAAACAAGCAGGAGATGCCTACGAAAATAATTGGATCGGCAATGATTGAGATATAGTTTATATTGACGTAACCGTCAGTTGTCGACGAATGAAAATCGTAAGATGCTTGTGAAACATTATTATTCAAAATTAAACTTTCATCGTAAAACAATTTCCTCAACACATACCCATGTTTATTTTTTTTTCAATGGAGCCGCAGGATTGTTGTTTCAAATTAATTGCTGACAACACTGCTCAACTAATGATCGAACCTTAAAAATCGATTCTTAGTTGAATAGTCAAACTCATCCCCATAGGGATTTTTTTAGTACACTTCTAGGTATCTCCTCAACATGCAACTTGAGTCATTAGTGGCCTAAATGCACTTATTTTAATAAACGAATGAACGGAATGTTCTTCAACTTCTATCAACCTTCAAGCACCCATCGTAGCAGAAAGCTCTTTTCTAGCTCTGGGAATTCTACTTCAGCGCTGCACGTCTCCAATTAAAATCGTTATAACAATATTCGCACAAGAGCTCTTTACCCAAACGGTTTACCACTACCCATCATACCCTACTTGCACTTCCAGAGAAAGAAAAAGCTGCAATAATAGCATAATTTTCTACTGCACGGCATCAACTGGCACCTGTTTCCCGGTGTAGCTGCTGTTGAACTGATGGTTCCTGGACTCTCTGATGCTCTCAATGTATTATGTGGCGGTGGCGTTATCTTTCTCTTCTACAAGGCTCAAGCACAAGCTCTGTTTTATCAAGACGAAGCCAGTATTTTTTATCCCCGAGCGAGCTCTCGTTCCACGCAGGAAATGCAATTCATGCTAAATAATAACAACACTTTTCTCACCTCAGAAAGCAGAGAAAAAACACCTCTCGAAACATTCAACAGTCCTTCAGGCAGTTCAGGCGTGCTCAACTTTTCCTGTTGTTACAGAGACTACCTTCGCCACCCACCGACCGGTTTTGCTCTGCCAGTCAGGGTTCGTTCCCAAAAAAAAAAATTAAACCTCCGTTACAAGGTTCATGCAGGCTGTTGTTATGCAAAATCGCTTTTCCTCTTTGTCACCACCGTGACACAAGAACACTTTTCCACTGCTGTCGCTACTGATGCCATTGTTGGTGGTTGTGCTGCTGCCACTGGTATTGCTGTTGTGAAATTTCTTCGGCGTAGCACCCTCTTTTGGGGGCACTACTCAGAGGAGTACAAGTTAGGCGAGATTTGAAGTGGATGAAAGAGAGTGAGAAAGAAAAAGTTAATTTCATAAACAGAAACGAAAGTTGACGATGACAATTTACTCAACAGCCATCAACACACACAGAGCCAGAGTAAGTGCAACAGAAACCGTGCACGACGCGACGCTCGGAACGTCGTTCATTATTACAATCTCGATGAAGTGATGTTCTTGCTGTTTTTGTTGCACGATGATTTGTGGTAACAAGGGATTGTTGTTTGAAACATCGGGAACTAATGAAGTGCTGCAAAGGGGTGTAGCTTTGAGGTGGTAGTCCATTGGACAGCGTGGTTTGCAGTTGAAACGGAGAAGAAATCTAGCTGGTTGTACATTTAGCGTAGTACATTTAAAAGTAAAAGTATGTTTCACTGTGTAATTATTGAATTCTAATTTTTTATTTGTATTCAGCCGTGTCCAGCTGCTATTCATCAGTAATATTGTTCGATTTATTCAAAACATTTATCAACGATTCATTTTGCACATCATCTTTTCAATGTCATATTTTTTTTTAAATTTTGCATTAAAACGAAGTCCATGAATAATTAACTTTGATGTTCCGGGATGCATGGGACAATTATTTTAGTTTGAGAATATTTGTCCGAAATTTGCAGTTACTACCGGACACCGGAGATGTTCCGGATATTTTGGTGTTATGACAAATGTGCTGAAGATTGATTATCTGAAATACTGTATTTTTCTCAAGGATCAATTGTTAAAATTCTGCAGAATCTATGATAAGCCAATCCATTGGTGGTTATTTTTATTCTTAAGAAGCACATTTGGCCACATCCGGATATGTTCCAAGCTTATTTAACATTCTTCCGAAAAAAATAACTAGAACTTGAATGGTGGCAAAACCGACCAGGCGACACAGGAAATTGCATATGTTTTCAATCACAACATTAATCCTCTGTAACCATATTTTGTTACGTCCAGACATGTTTCAGTTCTCCCCGGAGACGGGACTATAACTAGAACAGTACCATGCCACATTTTGAAGCCCCTGGAGCAGGAGAGAACTTGAATAAGTTGTTCATTGGTCAATATTAGTTGGTTTGCGTATTAGTTGGACAGAAAGCACAACCTGTTGATAGCAACAGGAAGCATGTTAGCGTAGCCAGTAAAGGCGTTATTATAAAGCAAATCCACCCTGAAGGTGGGGCGAGTTCGATTCTCACCCTGGTCAAGACATTTTTAAGGTTGGAATAATTTCCTGACGTGGAGGCGAACCAGCCTCAGGCTCAAAGCCTCCTAAATAAAGATAAATCAATCAATCAATTAATTTCCTGACATCCCTCAACATAGCTTCACCGACAAACCGACATGACACTTAATTCTGACTTATGCCCGAAAATCGTAAACGGTCGATTTAAATGTGCAGTGATCCGATCTGTCAAAACCATAGGATTTTTTGATCTAGTTAAAAATAATAAATTTGTCCAGAAATGATCAGACACGAACCAATTCATAACTTTTACATGCGTGTTCATGGCTTAGCGAAATATTTCCCTCGAACACGGAGCCAGATGTCAGTAGTGTGCTTTGGTCAGAAATTTTATTGTTTTTGCTATGTTCATTCATGTCGGTTTGTCGGTGATAGCTTGCCACACTATTGAAGCGTGCAAAATTGATACAGGATTAGAAAGCTCATCGTCGTCCACTGGTCACCATAGCCGGTCGAACCTCAGACGAATCTAGAACCGCTCTACCGTTCATACTGGCGACAACGCTCTGATGAGACAACGAAATCCCACTCCCAAGCTCCTCCCCTGATCCTATCCTTCGACAATGTACCCCACCAACTTCTACTAGACATAGAAATAAGTGAATTTTGTTAACGCGATTGATGGAAGGGTAGATAAAAAAAAATGAAAGCCAGAAGAAAATTAACAGATCCAAAATCGATAGTTATGTAGTTTTATAGTGATTTAACTGAAAATCGATAAATAATATGTTTAATTTAATTTAAATTTTAAATTTTCAGTATCTCCATTGAGCAGTTAAATATTGTTGGATGTCAAAAATTGGGAAGCTATCAATTTATATTAATCTGTTAATAACAATAGGCCGAAATTTTTCAACCGATAAAAGTTCGGATCATTTCAATACCGTATGAAAGACTTATAGTTTATAGATTCAATGTAGAATAAGTCAGATGATACAATTAAATTGAAAAAAAAAAATACAAAATGATTTTTACGACACTACTACATTCAATAGCAAAATGTATGCAAAATTATTCTCTTTTTATTTTTGTTATGGTTTAATTCCAAGCAGCAGACGAGAAAATAGCGATTTTGTGAAAGCATTGGCCAAATGTAAGCAGCTTGGATTGAAGATGGCATGTATGATACTTGGTATCAATTGTTGTTAAATTATGGAGCAATTCCACGGCAAGTAACAGTGTTTGTTTTTTTTATCATATACCATCGTTTGTTTCGATAATCTTCGGTGTAAAATAAGTTCACTACCAATCGAAGAATACGAGTTTGTTGATATTCATCAACGTTTGAGTTTCAACCACAAAATAGTCAATATCGGAAGCGATCCTCAAATGCATAAAAAAAAATCAAATTAATTTTAACATAATAATTATTTTAAATATTCTCGATCCCAAAGGCTACACACAAATCCATTAAAAGTAAGGTTTTACTGGGTTTTTCAATTGCGGATCTGTTCGGAGAATGTTTAAAAATCTGTGTAAAATTTAAAAATGGAACGATTGTGATTATTGATTTGACAACAACAGGCGATGGTAAATATGCATCCACGAATGAACGAAAACAAATGTTGACTTCGAAATTCAGTGGTTTTCTTGATCATGAATTTTATTTCATTACTGATTTATTTGATAAGGCTCAATCGAATAAACTTTACAGGGCCAAGAATTATTGTTCACTGTACAAAACATCGTAAAACTAGAATCGAAAGGTACCATACAATAAACACTTTATCTTCCGCTATCCAATAATCTTCTCCCATCAGAATAGGATCTGCTTCAAGTGGTTTCATTGTATGGCAGTATCGCCAACGGGGGACAGAGCGCCTCAATCGTGGCAATTGAGTTCTCCAAGCCGGATCTCACGAACACTACACTATAATATCATATACACATACTAGCGTAAACTTATTATTACGTGTACACGGTAATAATCAAACACCCATTTATCAGTAAAAGTTAACCCATTGTCAATACCAGTGGCACTACTGATTAATGAGTAATTTATTATTCCCATTAAGAAGTAACTGTTTGCAGCAACTCATTATTGTTCAAACAATTTACTCAGTAAAGCCACTTTTATTGAAAATGGGTTTACTTTTACTCATAAATGGGTATTTGATTCTTACCGTGCAAGCGTAGGGTTTTCGTTTTGTTGTTTATTTTTACTTTCGAATGACCGTTCTTACAGCTAACAAAAAAATTCTCACAGCTAACAAAAAAAATCATCTCACTAAAACAAGCAAATCGCATCAATATGAACCCGCCTGGAGAGGACTATGGCCG